AAAATCAATCGAAATCAGGGCTGTTGAATCAAATTTTCTATTGAATTTTTCTTGGAAACCATTAAAATCAATCGATTTTATTTGTTTTGAAAAAATCAATCGAACTTTTGAATTTTTTCAAAATCCGATGCTTTGGGATTGACGGCATCTACGACGACAACGGCCTCGCGCCAACGGATGGCACGAACCTCGAGACCCGGAGACAAGCTGAGCTGTGGGAGATCGAACGCGAAGAAGGGCCTCCTCCACCTCACGAGGCGCTTGAGTCGGCAGCTCTACGAGAGCGAAGGCAGAGGTGGCGACAACTGCCTTACACCCAAAGGGTTGCACTGCGGCGACTGCACACCATGACTGGACATGCCTCCTCTTCGGCGATGAAGCGTCTGCTACGCACCGCAGGAGCAGACCCGAAGGCCATTGCAGCGATGGACCATTTCCGATGTCCAGTTTGCGAGAACACCCGCGTGCCGGCACCAGCTCCAGCCACGAAGCTTCCCTCAGAAAACAAGTTCAACGAGGAGATCTCCGTCGACACGTTCATTGTGAAGGACATGGCCGGGACCAAGCACAAGATACTTAGCATCGTGGACATGGGCACCCTTTTCCATGTGGCTGGCATTGTTGGACAAGGTGATGGTCCCCCTTCCTCAGCAGACTGCGCCAACATGCTGAACAGGTCGTGGCTGGCCTGGGCCGGGCCACCAAAGTCAGTGGTGCTGGTTGAAAACCGTGGTCAACTGCAAGGGCTCTTAAATGGGCATGGTGTCCTACTTCGCTTCATAGGGCTTGGCTCACCAAATCAGCTTGGACGAGGAGAACGTCAAGGAGGCCTTCTCAAGGAGCTCATCCAGGCCACCGTGGTCTCTAGACAGCTCACAGGCGCCAAGGACATGGAGTATGCCGTCACGGAATGCAGTACGGTGAAAAATCATCGAATCAACCACCGTGGATTCGTACCATTATAATGGGTCCTCGGATACATTCCGAAGGAGGTGGACTCGCTCACCGCCTTGTGTCCTGAAGAACATCTTGGTCAACATTCCGAGATCCACGACGGCACCTCAGCTTTCGCCAGGCAGATGGCGATCAGGGCATCGGTGCGGGAGAGTTTTGCCCAGATCGACTCGGGGCCCCTTCCACACTGGTGACCTCGTCTGCTTTTACCGGAAGCACCAAGGCAACAAGAAGGGCGGCGGCCGATGGTATGGCCCAGCGCGGGTGGTTGGCTCGGAGGGCCGAAGCACTCTCTGGATCGTCCACGGTGGCATCCCGATGACCGTCTCCTCCGAGCAATGCCGACACAGCACTGGAGAAGAAGCTGGAAGCAAGCGACTGGTGGAACTGCGGCCATCCTGCAAGCGACGCCGAAAAGAGGCAGCACCACCTGGACTAGAGGACGGTTTTGCCTTTCCCTTCGGGGATGACCTCACGGGAACGCCTGGTGGATCGTCAGAACAACGCATCTATGTGCATGCTGGGCAGGACTCAGTTGTGGCGCCCGATTTTGTCGACCCGAGTTGCTTCCGCAAGAAGGCCGACATCTTCGAGGGGATGAGTGACACCGGGAACTACGACGTCCCGGTGGTCCCGACCTATACGACTTCGACGGCACCACCTCTACCTCCACCAGGTCTGCTACCACTGCCGGAGAACGAGACGGTCGACGTGACGGCCATTCCGGTTGGAGGACCTGACGTCGACGAGGACCTGAACTCAGCGGACGAGCCAGAGACCGAGGCGATCCCACCTAGTCGGAGACAGAGTGGCGAGGAGTTTGGTACCCTCCAAGAAGCACTCCGAAGAGGCACCGACACCCTTGACGCCACGTTCAACGACAGCGGCAACGCTCGAGGTCGCCGCCGCCGGCCTCCCGTACTACTCCACAGTCTTTCGGACCCACAAGACCTGCAGGAGAAGCAGCACCGAGGGCATTCGTTGCTTTTCTGAACAAGCGTGTGTGCAAGAAAACGGCGGCCGCTCGGAAGAAGGAGCTGAACTTCGAGAAGGCCACTGGCGACAAACGCACAGGCATGGAGCAGGCCCGAGAAAAGGAATGGGGAAACTGGAAGAACTTCGACGCGGTCGAGATCCTTCCTCCTTCCAAGGCCGAGACCTACCTTAACGAGCATCCCGAGGCCAAGCCAACGCCGATGCGTTGGGTCGACATCAACAAGGCCGAACCATGGGAGACCCCACGGTACAAGGCCCGCATCGTCGTCAGGGGAGATCTTGAGAGTGGCGCTGAGAACGCCAGGACCGATTCTCCTACATGTTCAAGCTTGATGCTGAACCTCACCATCTCTACAGCAGCTTGCAAGAGATGGAAGCTGAGAAGCGGCGACATCACGGCCTCTTTCCTGCAGGGTGAGCAGATGACGAGGACGCTTGTCCTCAAACCACCGAAAGGCGGGCTTCCTGGAGTGCCAGAAGGATCGTTGCTGTTGGCCCGCAAACCGGTCTATGGCACAAAGGACGCTCCTCGCGGCTTTTGGCGAAGACTTCATCGAGTTTGCCTGGAACTTGGACTCCGAGCCGTCCCCTACGAGAACGCTGCCTACGTCCTCGTTGACAACTCCGGTACTTTGAAAGGCATCATGGTTAGTATGTTGATGACTTGCTGTGGTGTGGAGATGAGGATATGGACGAGCTGATGGCCAAGCTTCAGAACAAGTTCGCGTTCGGAACCCTCGAGGTCAGCGACAGTTTTGGCTACTGCGGCAGAGTCATCACCCAGTCGGAAGATGCCATCCGCGTGACCTGCCCGAACCTGGCCTGCAAGGTTCGTCCCGTTGCACTCTCGAGCGAGGGAAAGAAGGATCGAGGAGCCCGAGCCACCGAGAACGAGATCGGGCAGTTGAGGAGTGTGATAGGCTCTCTCAACTGGCTCACACGAGTCTGCAGACCTGATATAGCCTATCAGGTCCACCGCCTCCAAAGTGTCCTTCGAGCTGCCACTGTGAGCGATTTGATCGCTTGCAACTCCTTGCTCCACTACGTGAAGAAAACCCCAGACCTTGGATTGACCTTTGAGTGTGGCTCCTTCGACCTCGAAGAGGCCCAGATCCTGTCCATCACCGACGCGTCCCACGCCGCTGACTACGACGTCTCCGGCGATGGACGTCTACTTGGACATAGGTCCCAGTCTGGCAAGATCATCGCGCTCTGCGGCCCGGAGTTCCTCAAGACCGGCCAAGGGAAGGTACACTTGCTTTCCTATCACTCCAACGTGATTCGGAGAGTGTGCCGCTCGACACTCCAGGCCGAGACGTTATCAATGCTTGGTGGATACGAGGAGGCTGAACATCTTCGTGCAGTGCTGTATGGCATGAGGCATGAATCGAAAGATCACACGCTTGTGGGTGCTATGGACCTCTTCAGCATCCACATGTTGACGGACTGCCGTTCGTTGGAAGAGCACCTGAAGCAAGCTGGGCTGCATACAGTGGGCGACAAGAGGCTAGCAATAGACCTCTGTGGACTTCGCCAAATGATTTGGCGACAATATGGAGAAGAAGTTGGAGACCCGCTGTACGCGGACAACCCGCCGGAGAACGCCACAACACAGGTGCACTGGATCGAGACGAAGACGATGCCTGCAGATGGCCTCACCAAGGAGATGCGGTGCCACCAACTCACCCAGCTGATGGAGGCTGGGACGCTACACGTGGACTTCGACAAGACCAACAGCAAGAAGAAGGGCAGAAGCACTCTCGCTGAAACCGGCGACCTTTTGCTGGAGCATCCCTAAGCGGATGAGTTCGCTCCAACAGAATTTTTGTGGGTGTGAGAACAGATGCCCAAACATGTTTTCCTGCAGGATGTGACATGCACAACCGTGCAGCAGCTTGGAGCGACCTTCACCGGCAACTTGGCTCAAGCGAGCAAAAGAGCGCTTGACTTCGGGAGACCTAGCACTGGTCTCTTTCTGTTTCCGCTGCTGCCAGTGCGGACTCTTGTTCGCATATATATATATACACATCCTAGTATATTAACATATCTTATAGTATCTTATAGTATGTTATAGTATGGCGTCGCATATTCTGGTATATGATGGCTAAGACTGTGAACGCAGCCTGCCCCTGGGGCCTCAGCAGCCTCGTATAGAAAGGAGCGTGGGACTTGGATCAACTTGGTTCTTTCAACCCGAAACAAACGCATGAGAGGAAAGGCCTGGTAAAACCCCTTCAGGGTTTAGGGTTTGGGATTTAGGGTTTAGGGTTTAGGATTTAGGGTTTAGGGTTTAGGGTTCTAACCCATAAACCCCCCTCCATCCCTAAGACTTCCAAACCCTAGACCGTAAACCCTAAGCCATCCTGCATTTTGAGGGTTGTTCGTGGAATGGTCTCACGCTTCAAGCTCCGATACTGGGATTTGGTGCACAGCTTCTTTCAAGAGGATGTAATCTACATAGAGCCCTGAGTAGGTTATTAGGCTTATGGACGGAGGGTAGCGTACCCAAAGACTAAACTCAATACCCTAGACTCTATATAAGCCCCAACCCCAAATCAGAATGGATAAACTTCACACTCCAAGTGAGCTACTGTCAACATCAGGGCTGCCAAGAGACCATTACTAGGAATATAAGAGGACCCTAATATAATCCTGGTTATCCTCTACAGCCACTATTACAGGGTGGGGGGTCCACCTAACCTATCCCCATAGTTGCCAGGAGATGGAGCTTCGGGACGAGGAGGCTCCATTTGGACAGGACCCCCATGGGCTGCGACTGTAAGTGGTTTACCTTAAGGGCCCAAGGACCCAAATAATAGAGTTCCTTTAAAGGGATTATAGGGGGACTATATAGGGTTTAGGGTCCAAGGACCCAAATAATGGAGCTTTAGGGCCCAAATACCATTAATATTATGCTATTTGGGCCCTAAAACCCTATTAATTGGGTCCTTGGACCCTTAGGGTTAGGCTATCAGGGACATGTAGGGGTATACATGGGTATACAAGGTTCCATAGGATTTAGGGTGTAGAGCGCCAATATTTTTTTTCTAGAGTTTCTGGGGTTTGGAAAAACTGTTGTCCCCTTTTTGTCACGCTATGTTCCGTGGGCTGTGGCATAATGGGAGCCTCAAGGGGGGTCACAGTTACACAATCGAGACACCACCAAATTGGAGGGGGACCCTAAATCCTATACCTTAGGTTGCCCTTAAAATTCCCCCAGAGCCCCCCCCCTAAAAGGCCTAAGGGCCGTACTTCTAACCTTAGATTTAGAGTTTGGGCTTTAGGGCATGACAACCGGAGATGTGGGCTTTTTGATAGCAGATCACAGGACTTGTAGTTACCTGTAGTTTAGGTTAGGTTTTGGTGAAGTAGACGTTTAGGAACCCTAAGCCCTACACTCATGGACTTGGACCCTTAGGGTCGGAACATCACTGAAGGCCTGCACCCTGGATAGCGGCTCACAACCTTGAGATTGTCAGTCCAAGGGTATAGCTTTGGGACTCAGGATTTGGGGTCTAGGATGTATAGGGTTTAGGGTTGGGTGGGGTTCTCAAGATCCGAAAGCTTTTGGGGCACCCCTTGGGTGTAATATGTTGATGAGAAGAAGGTCGTGGGGGTTCGTCCTTCGGAATGTTATTTTGATTATTTTGGGAAACTTCCACATGTGGGTCGGGTCCCGGGTATCCCCTCAGGTGGCTAGTTTAGTTTTGATTTTAGTCGAAGCTACACAACGCCTGAAGGCTTGTATGTAAGGCACAGTCAATACCGGCTTGTAAGGAGTTATGTCAGTAGCGGACATGGGAAGCAAAAGCGCTGTAAAGCAAAGCGAACCTTGACAAGAGACAGCCCAAAGTGTTGAGGCGAAAGCTTTGTAAAGCGAAGGGAACATCAAGAAGCGACTCCCCCAAAATTCACACGATCGCAGGTTAACGCAAAACCTTGTAAAGCGATACGAACATCGATCCATTGCCTAATGTAAGGAGATTTGACGGTCACTCATGTGACTTCGGATTAACCCGTACGTTGTATCCGTAGACGCTAAGCCCTATGCTGCCTTCATCCTTGAGACTTTAACCCACGCAGGGTTGACATTTGTGAGTTTGTAGATACATTACACCCTTAGAAGTAGATCCTACTAAGCTACACATGCGTTGGCCCTGCACAACGACGCCTACATCTCCCACAACCTGACCCTACACAGCTGAACCCTACAAGAGCATTTCCACAAACAGTGATGCTTGCACTCCCCGAAAAGCCCTAAACCCTAAGCCCACATTATAGTGACGTCCAAAAATTCTCCCGAGTTGTTGGACGCATCCTAACTCTATAGTTAAAATCATGGGCTCCCAGTATGGGCCCTTTACACCTTTTATATAGTGCTTATGCACCCACAAGGGTCCCTAGAATCCCCCTCAAAGGGCTACGGGCCTATATTAGGGGCCCATACTGGCAACCTCAGACTAAGACGCACGTTGCAGGAGGAGAAATCTACGTCCAAGTCCAGGCCTCTGGGATTTAAGGTTTAGGGGTTTAAGGGTTTAGGGAGTTTAGGCTTTAGGGTTTAGGGCTCAGGGCTTGTTGTAGGTTGAACAGCAAATCGAATTGGAACGAAAATCGATAATGGCATGGAATCTGGGATGTGTTTATGGGGTTTGGCTTTACCCTCAGGCTTTGGTGTATAAATGAGATCTGCAATGGACTTTGAAATCAATGGAAGTTGCCGACGTTTGACTATTCGGAGCCTCAGGGTTAGGGTTTGATGATAAGAGCTTAGAATGCTTGACAGTCCAAGGATCTATACAGAGCGTAAAGGGTATGGGTCTTAGTGTTCAGAGCAATGGGACTTATGCATTAGGGTTTCGGATTCATGGTGTAGTGGGGATTTCCGTCGGTTGCACAGAGATCTCACATACGCCATGTGTATTCTGATTCCAGCTTTGATGGCCTCGGAATCCACGGCTAGATGTAAGGGATTACCATAGTACCCCTCCAGAGGTACCCCTCCAGGGTTTAAGGAGCTAATGAGGACTTTTTAGGGCTTAATAAGGCCTGATAGGGTTCTAAATCTGGGGGCCGTCTGCTCCTGACCTTTGATTGACCTCCACTTGGCTGCGCTTAAAACTGCAACGTCTACATGCTGATTTCCATGAGAATCTGCAACTTGCAACGCGTTTGCAGAGAGCTTGGTCAGTGTTCGTCGCCAGCAGTGTCACTTTTCATGGCAGGAGATGCACAAGCAACAGGAAGAATTTGGACGGAAGCTGGAGAGGCAGTACCAATACCCTCTTAAGCATCCAAGTGGGCGAAACATCAAAGTTATAAGTTGAGCCGGGACTACACTCGACCTCCATGCAGAGGGGCGCAACAATTTCGGGGATTCCGGTTCGGCTTGTGGGTTTGGGGTTATTTTATGGTTGAAGGTTTAGGTTTCGTAGAACATCTGCATTTGAAAGCTGGAGCCATGAAGACGAATACCTCACCCATGCGTCGATACACCTAGACTCCGTACTGGTCCATTGTACATTCCGCACATTCCCGAGGAGATCTCAAACGGGGATCCCCTGAAGCAGGAAGCATGCCCTCAACCCTAAACCCTTAACTCTACTCTGCACCCCAAACCCTAAACTCTACATCATGAACTCTACACCCTATAATGCCTAAACCCTCAACTTTACACCCTACATACCCTCAACCGCTGGCTACGTGGCGGGACTCCGTTGTCGAATCCTCGTGCAGCAGGGTTCGGGGCTACGCCTCAATGGAGGAGCAATCGGTTCATGAGCCCAAATGATCCCAAGTCTTTATATACGATATTGTCAAGTTTGGGTTTCGGGTTCAGAGACTTAAATACAGGGAATGGTGTAGGTGTAGTTGGGGATATAGATAGAGTTTAGGGTATAGGTTTAGGGGCTATTTGGCTAAACCATACTACTAGTTTCTAGTACAGAAGCCCTAGGTTTTTTTATGAAGATACTTAGGACCCTTTGGGTAGTGCTGTCAAGACTAACGTGCAAGTCTCTTGTACATGGTGCATTATGGGGCCTCCTTATTATGGGAACTTCATCTACGCTCCTTTACAGCAACCCAGCAAACCTAAACCCTAACGTTTAAACCCTAAACCCTGAACCCTGAACCCTAAACACCCTACACCCTGAACCCTAAACCTTAAACCCTAAAGCCTAAACCCTATCTCTGCAGTCTCCCGGGACTCTCTGCACTTTGTCTTCACCTCCGCGAGCGCATGGACGAGCCCCGGTTCCAGCGCTTGGCATTTCTTGGAGCAGCCGGGCTTAAGCGGGTTCTAGGATAAAACCCTAACCCAGAGGGTCCAAGTACCCAATAATTAGGTACTTGGGTTTAAGGTAGGAGGTCAGAGGGTTCGAAGTGTACGTGGGTTTGTGGGTTTTCATGGTTTTGGGAAACTTCAGGTTGTTTATTTGGAGGGTTGAGGTTCAGGGTTTAGGCTTTAGGGATCTGTTTTTTTTTGGGCTTGAGGTTTGGGACGAGCCTTCAAAGCTGTACCTAGGAAGTAATCCATGTAATTAGCCATAAAAAAAGGAGATACTGCGCATTTTGGGTATCTGTACCTTTTTGTACCGGGGGGGAGGGGGGGGGGCTTCTCGAGGTAGAGTTCCCATGAGCTGCTGTCAATATTCGGCTAATTCAGGAGCCTTTAGAATGGACATAGGGGCCCGTCTTGTAGTTTAGCATAGTCCCTATTGTTTAGGTGGACCCCCCACCCTGTAATAGTCACTATAAGGGATAATAAGGATTATATTAGGGTCCTCTTATGTTCCTCTTATACCACTATTGCAGCCTGGGGGTGTTTTCTCACCTATAGTCTATAAGGGAACACATGTCTCTTAAGTATCTGGGAAATATTGACCGTAGCGCAGATTGACATGAGTAGTATTTCATTTCGGGGATATTATGGTACCCATCACAGAGTCAGGAATATAATCTTACTGGGTTTAAGTACCAAAAACAGCTACTCCCATGAGGTTTACGGTGAGGGTTCAGGGCCTTCAGAGCTTTGGTTGAATTAGTGTTTAGGGTTTAGGGCTTAGGGCTCAGGTTGAATTAGTTTTCTTATTTTCTGGTTTGCTAGCGCCGGGGCGCAACGCAAGCAGCGGAAGGATGTGACGCTAAAAGGTCCATATATTTCGGGTTTGGGTTTAGGGTTTCTGGAGCTTGGGTGTAAAGATTTTTGGAGGTGTAATCATGGTAATCGGATAGTTATCCGAATCCCCGTGTGCACCCAACAAGTATACCCTTGCACCTGTTCATGAAACCGCAACAACCTGACAATGAATGTTCCAGATATGTTGTGATTGCCTGTAACCCCAATTACCAACAGCTTAATTTCCAGTAATTACTACTGAATTACTCGGTATACACTTTAAAGTTGTACATTGGAGCGGCTGTACAGGTATATGTTTTGAGAGTGATTGTCGCTCGGCGGTGTGAGGGGCCTTCTTACTTACGGTGGGAGGTGATTGTGATCAATGAAGTCCCGCTGCTAGAGATCAAGCCTGCAGGGTTCAAGTAGTTTGGAAAGTGTGTTGGAAACAGTTGTGCTACCCTAAAAACCCTAAACCCTAAACCCTAAACCTTATGCAAGTTATCTTGGTCGGTACTCGTTCAGCCTGGAGCTCACCACTCAAGTCTCTTAAGAGTACCTACCCTAAGGGTCCAAGTACCCAATGAATTAGGTACTTGGGTTTAGGGTAAGAGTAAGTCAGGTTTTGGGTAAGAACATGATTATTAGGTACTTGGACCCTTAGGCTACTTTTGTGCGGTTTAGGGTTAGGATTTTGAGGGTCAGGCTTTTAGTTTTTGTTGATTCCTGGTATACATAGGCTATGTGGTACCTTGAATAGACCTCAAGATGATATGCTGTTAGGGTATTCAGGGTTGAGCGTTTAGGGTTCAGGATATTCAGGGTCAGGCTTAGGTGAGTTTCAGGGGAAAGTAGGAACCTCAGAAGGGACCTTTAACCCCATATACGTATATGAACCCCATATGAGTGGTATTTTATTTGGGGATACTATGGAATCCATTATAGAGTAAGATTATATCCTCCTTTTGGGGTATAGTATTTTATATAAGGAATATAATCTTACTGGGTTTAACCACCAAAAAAACTAATCATATACGTATATGAACCCCATATATAGTGCTTGTATACTCGTATATAGCAGGCGGTTCCCACATTAGCCCCCCACAACCTACACGTCCCCATTAAGTGTTCTTCCGGTAGCGTCTGGCTGGAAATCACGCTTCCAAAAACCAGACTGGCAGCCCAAGAATATATATATATATACACACACACATATGAAGGCAGAGAGGGAAGCATCGCCATAGGAAGCAAGCCGACTCCGCAGAATCGCGGCATAGTCGGACGCTAGAGGCACCCTAAACTACTTACCATTACCGTTGTGGCCACTAGTTTCCCTAACCCCAAAACCCTAGATCCTAAACCCTACATCCTGAACGATAGAACCTAAGGCCTCCGCAACTGTCGCTGTGCTTCTGGGCTTGGCCTTGGGCCTCATCAACGCTCGGCGCTGAGATTTCGGGGCTTTTGGGAGTCTATGAGGTGGGTGGAGGTTGCCCCTGCAGAGTTCTTTAAGGGGCTTTTATTTGTTCAAGCCCAAACGGGGGGAACCTCCTGCCCTTAGCCATAAACCACGCGCACAGAAGATAGGCTGATGCGCAGGGCCAGTTGTGAATGTCTATGAGAATTGGGGTCCTCGGGGATTCAAGTGATCCTTTTGATTATGACAGACTTTTGATTTCTTCTGAGCACTCGGAATGTGTTGAGGAACTCCGACACAAGCTTGAGTTTTGAATGTCTTCTGGCCATCCGGCTCGACGGGAAAGCAGTTTAGGCCGGGTACTGGTACCGCTCTGTATCAGCTGGAGAATACTTATCATATAGTTATATATATACACATATATATGTGTATATATATATGTATGTATATTTATATATATATATATAGCCTTTGATATGACCCCTGATAAAGACTGTTACGGGGTGGGGCAGTACCCAAAGTTTAAGGTTAAGGGCCACCAAACGGTTTCTTGTGCAAGCTGGAAGAAGGTGTAACTGCCGGCGCTTGTAGTTCTTAAGCCCACTGTGTGGAGAAAGGCTTGATGCATGTGCCCGGTAAGGAAAACCCAGGCTTGAACCAGTTCATACCCCTTCAACTGGGCAATTAAAAGCGACCTCACCCGACCTACCCCTAAATGATGGTTTATATAGGGACTAGTACCAAAATGGCCTGAAATTGGGAATTTACAGTATTGTTAAATGACCCTGTTTCAAGCTCCTTCCTCTGGCATGCCTCTAGACTATGTGGTCTTTGGAGCATTACATAGATCAAACGGCTGGGAAGTATAATGTCAACACTCTGGGGTACTGGCACTTCAAGCACCATCATCATCATCATCATAACAGGAGTAATGGGTTGTGGCTAAACTCTAAGCCCTGAGGAGCGTAGCTTTACCCCACAGTATTCGCCAGATCATAGCCCTAGGACAGCAACCCCGACCCACTGAAGCGTACGACAGACCTACGCAAAAACCCTAAACCCTAAACCCTAAAGCCTAAACCCTAAACCCTAAACCCAGAGTTTAAGGGATTATCGCCGTAGCTTTTGCTTTTTCAGTGGCCTTGCAAGCTCTTTCCCCGGTAGACTCCTAACCCTGCACCTCCAGGCCTCCGCCGGAACTCAATAATCTTATGGCACCCCCTATCCCAAAGGGTCCAAGTACCTAATATCTAGGTACTTGGGCTTTGGGTAATAGCCTTTTTTCTACAGGTTTTGGGGGTTATACCTTAATAATGGAGA